AACACTTCATCTGCTCATGGAAACACCGTGTTGCGGCAGGCTGGGGGTACAGGTAGCTGCCTGGGTAACAAACGGGAAGACCTGGGAAGCTGTACTACATCAAAGCAACAGATGACAGAAGCGGCACGTTTTAAAAGGGTTCCTTTTATTTTTCACCAAAAAAATGTGGTATTTAGTGTAAGCTATTCGTGTTCTGACCTTTACTTTATCCCTATCGCTGCTGTCCAACGGTCTCTGCGAAGGTCACGTGTGGATCTCACTTTCAGTACTGTTTTATAAAAGAAATTGCCGCAAATCAGAGCATAACACTAGCAGAGCCAACTGGAAATTTCTTATCCTTCTTAAATCCAGTGGTGAAAAGAACACTCTTTCAGACATGCATTTCCACCTAGTAGTTGTCTGTATTTGAACAAATAATATGAACTAGTTCCTGCTTGTAAAATGAAGACAACATCGACCTCAGAGGGTTGTTGTGAAGATAATATGGTAATAAGTGAAAGTACTCTGTAAACTATAACACACACAATATAAAGCATTATTATTTGAAAGACGGAAAATTCTAATAGGGATCATAAAGTACATACATAATACTTTCCAGTGAAAAAGTGACCTTGAAAAGTTAACTGGGCTTCCAGTTCCAGTGTAAGGAGCTTAGAAGTTGTCACTCCATCTAAACAACCAGCAGAAAGCTGACAGACTGAAAAATCAACTGTTCTTCTTGGGTTCATAAAGGAGGGGAGGAGACAGGGCCACGACTGCCCCACGACTAGAGTGACAGGGGAACTTGACTTCCCAGAGAAGAGCCTCACAGGGGGAGCCACCGGAACCAGAGCCAGGTAGGAAAACCCGACTGTAATTGACAAGCTGCTGGAGGCTCAGTGGCGACAATGCTGAGAGCTAAAGGCTCCAGGAGGATCTGGTGGTAGGGTGGACTCCTTAACATTGGAAGATTTACCTCCAGGAGCTTGACCAGGTTCCCACAGTAAACATCAGAAAAAAATCTCCTTGGGCTTCTGGTAGATGGAGGGGGAAATGAACCATTTTGAAATACAGTCGTGCTTTGCTTAAAGACAGGGATACATTATGAGAAATGCATTGTCAGGCAATTTTGTGAGTACGGGAACATCACAAAGTATACTTACACAAACCTAGATGGTATAGCCTACTACCCACCTAGGCTATATGGTACTAATCTTATGGGATCACCATTGTATACGCAGTCTGTCCTTGACCAAAACATGGTTACGTGGTGTCATGACTGTGTTCCAGAACGCTTGGTTCTTCTTAACAGGGCCTGCCCTCATGGCAAAACTAGTTCACCAGTGCTTAACCTGCTGGGGTGTTATCAGAGCCTAATAAAGGGCTTATTAGCAGACTGAACATGGGTGAGGAAAGAATCTCTGAGCTAGAAGATGTATCAATAGAATCGTCGAAAACTGAAAAGCAAAGAGAACAGAGACTGAGAAAAATAGAACAGTATCTCTAAGAAGTGTGGGACAATTACAAAAGGCATAATATACACAGAATGGGAATACCAGAAGGAAAAGAAAGGAGAAAGGAATAGAAGAAACACCTGAAACGATGACTAAATTTCCCCAAATTCATGCTAGACACCAAGCCACAGACCAGGAAGCTCAGAGAACACCAAGCAAGATAAATGCCAAAAAAACTACACCTAGGCATATCATTTTCAAATTACAGAAAATCAAAAATAAGGAAAATTCCTGAAAGAAGCCAGAGAAAAAAAATCTTACTTATAGAGTAACAAACATAAGAATTATATCAGATTTCTCCTCAGAAATCATGCAACCAAGAAGAGAGTGGAGTGAAATATTTAAAGTGTTGAGGAAAAAAACCCCACCAACACAGACTTCTGTATCCTGAGAAATTATCCTTCAAAGGTGAAGAAATAAAGACTTTCTCAGACAAACAAAAATTGAGGAAATTTGTTGCTGGTAGACCCACTTTGCAAGAAATGTTAAAAGAAGTCCTCTAGAGAGAAGGAAAATAATATAGGTCAGGAAGTTGGATCTACATAAAGAAAGGAAGAGTACTGAAGAAGAAATAAGTGAAAGTAAAATAAAAACTTTAAATTTTCTTATTTTTCACTGATCTACAGGTAACAGTTTGTTCAAAATAACAGCAACATTTGATTATATGCTTATGTATCTATCTTATGTATACATAGATATGTATACATACACTTTATATATGCTTATATAGAAGTGAAAAGAGTGACAGAAATGATACAATGGACAGGAGGGAGGAAGTAGAATTATTTTGTTATCATTAAGGAACACTACTTGTGAAATGGTATCATGTTATTTGAAAGTGGACTTGGATTAGTCATAAACGTATATTGCAAACTCTAGGGCAAACACTAAAAAAGGTTAAAAAAAAGGCTAAGAAATGAGAGAAAACAGAATACTATAAAATGCTCAGTTAAAACCACAAAAGGCAGAAAAACAGTCAAGAAAAAACAGGATCAAAGAACAAGGACAACAGACAGAAAACGGTAAGAAATATGCTGGATATTAATTGAACTATTTCAGTATTCCCTTTGAATGTCAATGGTCCATAGGTATCAATTAAAAGATTGCCAGAATGGATCAAAAACACAACCCAACCATATGTAGGCTACAGGAAACCCACTTTAAATATTAAGATACGTATAGATTAAAAGTAAGTGGATGGAGGAAAATATACCAACTAATACAAATAAAAGAAAGCAGGAGTAATCTTATTAATTTCAGTCAGAACAAACTTCAAAGTAAGGAAAGTTATTAGAGATAAAGAAGGGCATTACATAATGATAAAGGTGTCAGTTCTCCAAGAAGACATAACATTTCTTAACACGTATGCAGCTAACAATAGAGCATCGTTCATTGCTGGTGGGAATGCAAAATGGTACAGGCATTTTAGAAAACAGTTTGGTGGTGTCTTATGAAATTAAACATACTCTTACATACAAACATATGATCTTGCAATCACACTCGGATTTTACCCAAAGGAGCTGAAAACCTACGTCCACACAAAAACCTGCATATGGATGTTTATAGCAGCCTGAAATAATCCTCATGTCAAAGAAACACATTTTGGGATGACAAATTTTGTTCCCCTTCAGTATACTCTGATGTTCGCGCAAGGACGAAATCGCCTAATGACGCATTTCTCAGAACATATCTCCATCATCAAGTGACACGCGACTATAAATGTTTTTAGCCACTGAAATTTTGAGTTGTTTTTTGCTACAGCAAAAGCTCACTAATACACACTGTACAATCCATAGCTTAGCAATGAACAATATTTACATAGTCACAAAAATGTAATTATATTATAATCATATTATAATTAACTATATTACATTTTTATTATAATTAATTATACAATACACATTGATTCAATAGAGATTCAATCAGAAATCTGAAACTAAAAGTTGTGATATAACTATGTTAGGAGGGTGGGGAGTGAGTTTGAGGGGAAGATGAGTAAAACAGCCAAATCCTAATATAACAGAAGAAAATAATGTCTAAAGTTGGAAAAATCAAGAGATACAAGTATATTATTTAGAAATACGTCAATAAATTGCAAAAGAAACAACTAAAAGGACTGAAGGTTTTGCCTCAAGGGAGCTAGAATCAAATGTGAGAAGGACACAGGGAGGGAGTACTTTTTTGTTATATGACTAACAGTACTATTTGATTTTCTTGGAACTATCAACATGTATTAATTTTATAAAAATCTTAACTCACAAGCACAAAAATAAAAAACAACGATACAATCAAGGGAAGATCATGCCTGATTTACTAAAAATTTCTGATCCTGAAAAGCAAAAAAAAAAGAACTCTAGTTGGAATCAGAAGACCTGGTTTTATTATTTCACCATCTGGCTTCTACTTTTCTCTAGCTACATCTTTCCTGGCTCTGTCTCTTTTAATACTTAGGGGAGAACAAACAGCATTACTGGTCCCCCCTTACTGTAGAATTATAGTCTTATATTTTCAGTTCCAGATGTCACTGACAAAAAATTACAGGAAAGATGCTGCCTAAAAGCGAGATAAGATAATATTAAGGGCTAACCTGTATAGAGAGCTCTCAATTAATACATAAGTTGATTATTTATCTGCTCTACACATTATCTACGATCACTGCATGTCCTCTTCTTAACAGGTGCCACCTTTTGGTCATCTCAATCATCTTTTACTGCATTATCAAAGAATGAGAAAAATGATTAAAAGTAAACTAGTAAATGTTGCTCCTTTTTTAACAATGATAATTCAGGGACAGTTTAAACTCGGTATGTGAATGATTTTACTCACAAAACAAACAAATTAAGTAGTAATATATTTTACAAAATAATTTAGTATAAGATCCCTTTACACAGTGGGCCCACATTTAAATTATTGGATTTACCAAAATTCTGACACAGTTTTCCAGAAAAATATTTACTGAGCAAAGGACAAAACACCTATCTAAGGTACAATGATAGAAGACACTAAAGCTATTTATAAATATTTTTATATTACCTATAGATTTCGCTTATTATGTTAATAGTCCTCCCTTTAATATGAACAAATAGAGTTATGTGCTGCAAGTTTCAGCTAGTAACTTCTACAACAGGGACTGAAATATGAGGAATGCAGACACAAAGTATCTTAACTGGGTTTATTCTGATATACTCTTAACCATATTGTACTTTGAGTTATAGTTCATAGGCCTGCCATGTAGAGGTTAAGTTGGCATAGTCTGCTTCGGCAGCCTGGGGTTCACAGGTTTGGATCCTGGGCGCAGACCTATACATCACTCATCAAGCCACGCTGTGGTGGGTCCACACACAAAATAGAGGAAGACTGCCACAGACGTTAGCTCAGGGTCAATCTTACTCACTGAAAATAAATAAATAAATAGGCAGTACCGTTTAAAAGAAAAAGAAAAGCAAAAAGTATTGGGGCAGAACAAGAAACCACAGGAAAACAATGAACAGGGTGTGTTTTTCATACCTCTTCATCTTTCATATTCACATCCACATTTTTCGATTTGATGACTTTGGTTATATGGTCAATGTTGTTTTCCCTGCAGTAATCAAATATGTTTTTGTCTTCTTCCCTAATTAGAGTAAAAACAGAAAAAGTGCTTACCAGGTAATATATAAAAGTTACATATTTTTAATACAACCTGTTTGCTGCTTACAAACATTAATGGAATCTGTTTTTATGAAGACTTTTACATGAAAAATAATGGATTTTCGATAAGATAACACATGCAACCTCTGAAAAGACTAAAGCTCTTAGTAACAATGGTAGGGAAGAGCTTCATCTGCTTTAACGAGCTACATTAGTCACTAATATACCATCTTGAATAGATTTTCTCAGTGCTTTCTCTCCCCAGTTACCTTTACACACCGGCAGCACACATTTCCTCTGACTCACAATTTTCAATTGTAGCACTGCAGTAAAAAGGTCACTTACTATTGTCTGTGCAGAGGTATCAAAAGATGAGGACACAGCTTACTACTTGTCTCACAGGATAACAGAATGATAAGCTGCTTGCTACCCAAGTGTAAAATAGATATACTAAAGTAATTTTCTTAAGGGTAAGATAATTATAGCATCACAAAATTCAGAAATCCTTCATGAGCTAACAGAAACAAAGACTGGGAACAAAAACTGGGAAGCATACTATGTACCCAGCACTATTCTAAGTGTATCAAGGTACTAATTCATTTACTCTTATCCAACAATTTCGCTTCAGACAAAGAAACAGGTAAGGAGAGATTATATGACCTGCGAAACGGCACTGCATTTATCAAAGGTAGAACAAGAGCTAGGATGCACTCAGATCAACTGGTTTTGTATACAGTACATTTTTCTATCATATCAAGCTACATCTTGACTAATCAGCTGTCATATATACCAGAAGCTAACACAGAAGTTCTTAATATAAGGTCTATGAGTTCTCTAAAATGGTATAGAGAAGTATCTGTGTAAACGCACATGCAGTTTTGAGTGTGTTGTATGTGTGTGTGTTGGAGGGGAGCTTCAATTATATTCTCAAAAGGATGGAGACTCCCAAAAGGATCAGTAATTTGGAATATTAACAATGAAACCATTCTATACGTGAACAAGCATTTTCTGGACAGGCATAAAAGAATGCAACCCGAGTTCCAAAAATTATAACTAGTGTGTTTTATAACGTGTACAAGGCCATAGCTTCCCTTCACCAGAAATTAACGCACCTGGCCCAAGGAGTTAATTCCAGTGAGAGGTAATTAACTTAAAACACACTATGTTGGCATTAACCACCTAAGCTTTCTCTATGCAGCTCATGTATTTAACTGAGCACCTACTATGCAAGGCACTCAGCAAGATTCTATTGACAACAGATAAGAATAAGCAAGAAACGTTGCATTCAATACATGTACAGTATAGTTGAGATGATAAAATCTATCCACCATTAACATCAGGCAAAACTGGATCTTTAAAAAGGCCTGTAAGAGTACAAAGGAGAAACAGCCTGCTTCAAGCTGGAGGAAATGAGGTAGGCTTCCAAGAAGAAATCATGTTTAAAAGGAATATATGGTCTCTTGAAAATGTCCATTTTGCAAAAGAGAAAATGCTTTCCCAGATCACTTATTTGGAAAGAAAACGGAATAGTCTGAGGCCAAAACCCCAGAAAGGAGAAGTCTAACTTTTGAAATTAAAGCTGCATATAATACCACTTTAGCTGTATTTAACTATCATAAAAAACACACTATCCATGAAAAAGTGCATTCAGAATTCCCACTTGGGAATAACAGGGATCCATTTTCCTCCAACCCAATAGCAGAGACCCTTCTAATTCAAGCAGCAGCAACTTCAAGTGTAAGAGAAAGGACTGTGTCATTTTAAATCATAACGAAAAAATATACTATTCACCAATTGTTCTGAATTTGAAAATAATGGGGAGTAGGTGGTGGAGCACAGAAAGACATGTAAGGAGGACTCTTGGGATGTGAGTTATCCACACCCAGTAATATGTAAGGGTTTTTTCATAGGTGAGAGGACCTTCTGAGTGGTTCCTCTTCCTGAATCCCAAATGTGTGTGCATACCTACACCATAAGCTGTAAAAGAGTAAACACAGTTAAAACATTTAAATTTTTAATTTTGCTTAATATATTTTCAATGTTTCTTATACACATTTGTATCAATTATTTTATTTTGGCATGTGAATTTTTTTGAGGGCGGGGGCATTTTTTCATCTGAAAACCTGTTTATCATCTGTAGTTTATTTATCATCACTAAATATGTCAGGCACATAGAGGTATTTATTAAATATTTCAAGGTAGAGTACACAATGTAAATTAAATACCAAAAATAAATTCAATAAGGTCACCACAAGTGTGCTACAAAACTGAGTGACTAATATAAAAAAAAACTAAGTGATACTCCTGCACTTAGTTGTTAAATATAGTTATCTACCCCGACTCCAAGTTTTGACTATCTTACTTGCCAGCAACCAAGCTGTCTTTACACAATGTCACCACCTAGTGGCCAAAATGGAGAAACATCTGGAGCAACATTTTCCCACATCGCTTTCTTGTCCCCTAACAAGATTAGACGTACAACATACAAATCAAAATCTCTTCTCCCCTTGCGGTGCCCTGTTCGTACAGCCTTCCAGAGGCAATATCTCCCTCCATATCCATACTTAACTTAAACGAAACGTGCAAATTAATTCAACCATTACCAAATATGGTAGAGCCTTAAGAAATGTTAGTGCCTTTCTACATCTTCTTACTTTATCTTCCTTTCTTATGATTCTTGCCCAATTATCTTTCTCCCTCTCTTTGCTGAAAGTGAGTGATACAATTACCATATCCATTCTCTAGAGACGAGTATAGCTATGTTTGTGGTGCTACCCTCAAGGATGTCCCACATTCCCCTTAGCACAAGACAGAAAGTCTCTCTTTAGATTACTCCAAATTTTCTGAAATGGACAGAAAATACATTTATGTATCTGAAGGAAAAAAATCACTGGCTTTCTTTGAAATTTTTTTGAAATATAAGGACACATTCCTACAGAAAAGAGTGATGGCGATTAAGTATGTTTGTCCTTCTACAGGAAGAGTAGATCCTTGCCTACTCCTAAAAATGCACCACTGTCTACAAAGATCGCATTTTCCTATCAAAAGAATATGTCAAATAGTTAGGTTTCATGGCAAGCCACCTAAAGTCCATTTAACTACTATTTCATCTACCTCATAGAATTAAAAAACACATTTATGGGAGTAGCTCAGAAATCTAACTATTTAATAGGTACATTCAATAAACATTTCAATTCATATATTTATCAAGCAACTGGCAATCAGATACAAAAACAGTATTCCAGTAAAAAGTCAATAAAACATTATTTATTGAATGAATGAAAACACAAAGAGTAAGACAATACCTACACAAATATAAACAAATGCCACTAATTCCTCACACTAAGGAATGTATACTTGGGGCTCTGGGGGCACACAAAGACCTGTAAAGGGGTATGCAGGTACGGAAAATTTTAAGAGAATCAATTTCAGCTCAACTTCTAAATAAATGCATTCTTTCTCAAACTGATCTACCTGAAAACGCTCCTGTGGTAAATATTTCACCCCCATTCTCCTTTTCAACATCCCCTCTGCACAACCACTCTGCTCCTTTACAAAAGCAAGGCACACAGCCCTCCCCCTACTGTGGTCTATTTCCTGGAAGTATAACCACAAGACTTCACTAACATTTAGTGAATGATTATTAATTAAACCTGTTACTCTTTTGCTTAAAAGTACTGTTTAATATCCTAGGAAAAGTTTGGGGAAAAAATTAACCCCAGGTTGCACTGCCCCAAGATATAAAATATTCCATGGTACCAAATAAAGGGAGAATTTTGGTGAAAAATTGGCGTTGGGAAGTCTCTCATAACATAGGTCAGATGACAAAAAACGTGAAATAAACAAAACAAAAAACAAACTTGATACTGAACTCTCATTCTAACAAAAAATAATTATTTTTAAAAGCCTTATCCATCTCATTAAGGCACATTTCCAATAAAATTTTACTTATGTTTAATAATTATTTAACAAAATTTATAATGTATGTTGATCAACTGTATAGAAATAATAATTACAATGACAACTCAAATGAGAAAAAATTTAATGCTTAAAGCTTCTGGGTCAACAAAAATTAAAATTTTTAAAATTCCAACTTATATACATAGTTTTGTTACAGAGAAGTATGATAGTGTGAAAAGACTACACACAAACATATTACTTAAGATAAAATGTGGGAGAAGTAGAATAAAAGGAGAAAAAGGAATGATATAAAATTTCTGTTAAAGATTTTCTTCATATATTTTTCAATCAAGATCAGAATTTTATTTATTTCAATTAAACTTTTTATTTCAAGACAATTGAAGATTCACATGCAGTAGCAAGAAATAATACAGAGAGTTCTTGTGAAACATTTGCTCAGTTTCCCTCAATGATAACATCTTCATGTATTCCAGTGGATACATCTAAAAAAGTGATCTGTTTATTTTAAAATTTCAATACTTACAAAATGCCAGAAATTACACTCTTTGCTGTGATTTAAACTTTTAAATAAAAATTTTAGATGCCATCTTAAAAATGCAAAAGGGAACATAGTCTTCCAAAATTCTCTTAGGGACTACAACAGCAAAAAGTGTTTTTCTGACTATCACTGTTATAACCCAGTATTAAAGCAGAGACCCAGAGCAAGGAGTGGACCACTCAGCTGAGGATGATCAGAGAAGGCATTCCAGAAGAGTTAACATTACAACCTAGCCTTGAAGGATAAACTGACTGCCCAGTGAGGCAACTGAAGGACTCTGAAGAACAGAAAGAAAAGGAAAAGCATTAACAAAAAGCTGTTCAGGGGAACTACGAGCAATAGGTTATGGCAGGGTGTTGGGAGACAAGGGGTAAGCCGAACACAGACCACAGCGCCTTGGCACACCGCATATAACGTAAGTCACAGGTTATTTGGGGAACAAAATAGTTATCCACCTTCCAAACCTGGAGTAAAGGGAAACAAAACTGCCCTTTTAAAGCTAAACAAACTGAACAAGCTACTAA